TTTTTCAGGAATTAAAATATTTGATTTTGGGGACACCCTGAACACAGTATGCACCACCAGTTTATTTGAACGGCAGTGAAACCATGCTTTACATGAATAGTGCTAATGAAAAGCTCTACAGGCCTAGAACAAAATAGTTTTGGGGGCAGTGATATTAAAGGGCAAAAAACAGCATCATGTTCCAAAAAAATGGGAGTTTTTTTTTTTCTTGAAGGCCACTTGCAACGTTCTTGAGACATGACTTAAATATGTGGCCATATATCAGTACACTGAACAATGTCCCCCTCTCATGACTGTGACACAAAGAGCAGCATCTGTTACGCCATACTGACACATTACAAAGAGTTTGCTGCTCAGACACGAATAATGAGACGTACAATGATTGTACTGTTTTATCTCATGAGGCCATCTGTCAGTCATGTTTAGAGTTAGTACAGCTACACTTACACAGAGTACATAGTTTGTCAGATTGCTTTACTCTACTGTATATTGTCCTAAAATCTGTAAATAGACGCCATAAAACTGACTTCATGAACACAAGCAGAGGTGTTCTGCTCATACCGAAGACAGATGTGTTACTCTCTAAACACTGACCTTAACTACAACTCCAATGGGAATAAAAGGGATCCTAATAGCACACTACTTGTAAACCCTCCGTGGTCAATGAGTACCTTGCAATTTCTTGTTGAGCAGCTATCAGAACAGAGTAAACAGACTTGGTATGCTGATGGCTAGACAGATAGCTTTATAGTAGAGGGCTGAGTGACCTACTAATTCGGTAATGCATTATTACAGACTGCACTGGAAGTATGGGGAACAAAAGTCAAAGAATTGGCATTTGAACACTTATGAATACTGTACACTGTAATGTATTGTTTAATACATTATTACAAACTAGAAATGTGTTTGTTTTTTTCAAACAGGTTTAAGTATACGTTTCTAATTTGGGTGTTTATGTCTGTACATAGAGTTGTGCGGTTCAGTTGGCTGACAAGTGAACTCATTCTTTAAACAACTGTAAGATATTTTAACCAGACCACGAGGAAGGACAAGGAAGTTATAACATCTAAATTGCTCAGTCAGAGCTGCTTCACGGAGCTTTGACCTGATAAGGATACAGGGCGGAACTTGAGGTTACAGAGGGGTCAGCAGGATAAGTCCAACCACAGACAGGTGATAAATTATAAGAAAAGCCTGTGCACTCGTACAGTGAGAGGACTTGCTCTGTGTTGGTGTAGGGGGACTTTTTTACTGGAATGATTTTGTTCTAAGAGTTCAGGTTACTGCAAATCAATACAAAATTGTTCTGAATAATCACTTTTGAAATATGTCTACCCATATGGGAAATGTTTCTGGGAGTATGACAATGTGTCCATCCACAGACCACAAGGGGAAACTGAATGGCTAGATAAGCATAAAAACATGGTCACAATAATAGTCGGAAAATGTGTATTTTTAGAATCATAAAAAGAAATATGGTATACTTTTACTATACCAATATCAAAATTTACTGTTATCTTTGAAAACTTTATGAGCTCAGTCTCAATTGAATAGTGAAAATCTGTGGGGAGAACTTGTGTGTGTGGTAAGGTTTCCATGCTTTACCACTGAATTGAGTGTTGGGTAAGGGTTAGAAGTCATGCTTATGTCAAGCAAAGCCATCCCTCAACTCCCCCTCCTGATTCTTCCCACTCTCAAGTTAGACTCAGACTAGGGCAGCTGTTGCTCAGGTGGAAGGGCAACTCATTTACCAATTGGAAAGCCAGTCTCTGGTTCCTGGCTTCTCCCATCCTATGTCAAAGTATCCTTGGGAAAGATAATGAACCCCAAGTTGCCCTGTGTGTGTGTGTGTGTGTGTGTAATTGGCTGAATAAGATTTGCACTAGGAAGTACTTTGAGTGCTTGACTTAAGAAGAAAGGTGCTATAATAATTTCCAGACTGTCCTACTTTAGCAGATAGATGTCGCAGATGATTTCTCATTTCAATGTGAGGAAACTGATATGGGGAACAAGTGTTTTTGCACAAGTTGCGGTTATGCATTTTACAGCATAGTTGACTGAAAGTTGTTAGAAAGTTATACTCACAAAATTAACAACGTTCAGTCCTCAGCTGTTCACTTTATCACCTCATCCTTTCTTTTCCACCAACAAATGTAAATTATTCATGATCATGAGTGATCCCGGCACTCACAAGGAATCATGTTTCCACTCCTACAACCCAACACCAGCAAGCTGATACACTGTTCACAATACTTTAACTCACACAACACAAGGAGTCACTTTACGGCTGACGCATTCCTTCACACACACACACACAGCTTTTACAGTGCATGTGGGTGTGTGATAGAATGGATGCAAAGTGGTATAGCTGTTACCAGTGCGTGTTTATTGTAACAGAAGATAAAAAAAACAGCTGATTTTCAATAGAAAACTAAGCTGATATACTGATGACAGTTTATAGTATGCTGACAAATTAAAGATAAATAAAAACAACATACCGGGTTGCTAGTGTAGTTTCACTGTGCTTTGCCATTCTACATTCTATGCTATATTTAGTCTTTGGGGAACATGGATTACCATTTTTCCAGCAGATTTTTCCAACTTGGGCATAACGAGCTCAGTCTAACTTTATGGACCAAAATTGTTGAATGACCTCTCTGCCCATGGTAGGACGGCTTCCTCACTGCCTGTTTTAAAATATGTCTTAAAATTAGATCAAAGTGTTCTTAACTTCTATTTATTTATTTTAGTGTTTTATTGATTAGCTTTGTGTTGTTTTCTAAATGGCTTGGGAAAAAAGCAGCTGAACTTATTTAAGCTATGTGACACCCTTTTACCTCTCATCAGCACTTTGTCAAACTGTGTCAACTTTGTCAAGCTTTAATGACACTTTGTTTCTTGTGGATGCGGTATTGTCATCATAAAAGACACCACTCCAATGATGATAGAAATGTTTTATCGCAGGTTACAGAAACCCAGACTTTACCATTAAAATGTGCCCCACATTCGGACACTCTCATTACACAGGTTAACATTTTTCCTTTAATTTGTCACCCGTCCGCGTATACTTCATCCAGTAAGCACACAAAGACAGTCCCTGTATTAAAAGCTGACAGCATTCTGTAAAGTTTATGAGGCAGTAGCACCAGTGAGGAGAGTTACTTTGTGCTCCCTGTGTCTTTAAATCTCTTTGTCTTTCACATAGGCCAGCCACTCACAATAACCCACTCAAATCAAATCAAAAATCCCCAAGGAGTATGCTCTGGGATGGGGGAGTGCCCCATCTCTTTTTTTCGGGGATGGCTACCGGCTGAGTGTAATAAAGGTCTTTGTTATGCTGCCCTGCTGCAAATCTGTGTTGTTAAAGCTCGCATGGCAAAGAGCACTGAAAGTGGCCAAAATTGAATGTCACAGAAATGTTTAATCAGTCACACTGATTAATTACTGACTGCGGCAGCATTCAAGCCAAAGAACAAGACAGAAATGTATAAATGATCACATGAGGCTATTCACTTTGTTTTCGTCAAAGTGATCCGAGATATGTTTTAAGCCTGACTCTGTCTTACCTGGAGCAGGACAATAAAGATAAGGATGGAAATGTCTTGAGTTTTGGTTTTATAGAGCTTGTGTGCAGGTAGACACACGGGTTTAACAGGTGCACAGCTGCTTGGATACTGCATACAGTGTCCTAACAACAGTACATTTAAAGTGACAGCAGACTGAGTGCAGATTGTTTTAGTCTTAAAGTGCACCGTTGGGAAGTAAGCCTTTTAAGTTAGTAACAGTTAATGAGTTGCTGTCTTGCCGTATTTTTTTAAGAAAGAAAGAATCTATCAGCCCACTTACGTCTTTTACTCCAGTTTCTGATTTTGAAGTTAAGTTGTCCTTCTTCACAAAATCGTGCCACTTTCACTGGTAGTAATACAGCAGTCCTTCAGGCTCTGAACTTCCATAGCATTAGGCACTAGTGTAAATCTGTTATAGTCCCAGTGGTCTAGTTTAAGGCAGGGAAGACTCCAACAACTTCACTGTGTGGGTAAGAACCCACCACTAGATCAAGCATGGTGCCTTTTCAAATGACTACTACTGGTGTGGGACTAGTGAACTGTGGAAAGCCTGGAATGGATTTCGGAGTGGACCGTGTTTCATAATTTACTTATTTACTTATTTTGATTTACACAAGTTAAAACTAAAAAGACACAACAGGCTTTTTAAATACTTCAGCATTTAAAGGCATAAGCCTCCGTAAGCTGGCGTCTTTACTAATGTTTTCTCCACTAAGACATATCTGTTTCTATTTTTCTTTATCTGCACAAAATGTTAACTGTAGTACACTGCACACTGTAACAGTCATCAACGTTTCTGGTAATGTATAAGAAACAGGCTCCTCTAAATCAAGGCTCCCTGGTTACCTGGAAACTAATTTTTAACTATTTACTATATGTCAGTACTGCTCGGCTATTTCCAAAAGTATAAAATTGCCATTATTTAATTGAGATACAAGAAGAAGTTACACCAACAGCTAACTAAAACATTTAAACCTCCTGATTAAACAGCACACTCTCTCTGTGATCACTTGCTTTAGAAACGTTGCCCTCCTCCTGCTGTCTGTCACAGCCGTGGTTTCCCTCCCACTCCTCCCTCAGTGACAGTTCAAAGTGTAGCAGCAACAGCCATCAGCCTGAAATGCACCTTACAATTTAAACCAGCCCACCAATCACCAGCCTCTTAGGCAGTAACAGTGGCTAGTAACATTTGCACAACAAAAGAGAAATCTGATTCATCATCCCCCCCCGCCTTCACTCCCTTTCCCTACCACTGTGACTCCTCCTCTTCTGCCTTTGTGTTCAAACTCAAAATCCCCTTCTACCCCTGTGACCCTCCTCCTCCTCTGCACTAATCTCCTTGTGCCCCACTGGATTGACTGCTTCACCTCTCTCTACACTGTGACTCCCCCGCCCCGCACCCCTCAGGACGCATCGCTGACTGGCCTCATTTTTGCAGGACCTCCTCCTCCTCCTCATCTGCCTTGCTCGGATGAAGCATGTGTAACAGCCACAGGCACAAGGTGTAATGTTGGCAAAGAAAAAGCAATAACAGGAGCAGGATCCTCAACAGGAAATTAGCTTTGGTGCAGGTGTCGATGTATGCTGATTAGAATAACGTTTGCAGATAAATATCACTCATGAGATTTTTCAATCATGCCTACAATAACAGCATGTAGCGTTCTGAAAGAGAATAGATTTGATCTCCCATTTTCCACTGTGCTTAGTGCTTAAATATACTGGTCACATTACAACTAAAAGGGCCCTCTTTATAGGTACTTAAAAGCCCCCTCACACACACACACTCAATATATAAGGCTCCCATGGGGTTTGGGGGCCACCAATATAGAGTTTAGCCTTGGAGTCGCTTTGTATTTCACATTTAGTGTTTCTATAGCAACTGTGGACAAGTGGACCCCCCTTTATTTTGAACACCATTAAATACCCCACCCCCGTCTTGAGTTTAGTGGGGTTTCCCCCCGCACACACACACACACGCCAACAGACGAGGCTGTGTCTAGCTCTAGTTTAATTGGTAATGAAAGCTCAGGGAAGAAGAGCTTTCAACAACCTTTTTAATCATTTTAAGTGTTTTATGACTGAGAAAAACAGTAAAACATGTTTCAATCATTTGCAACAGGTGCACTAAGGATTTGATGCATAAATGTACTTCTTGGGAATATTTTTTAAGTATCAGAGAAAATAAAGCAGATCAAAGACTAAAAGATCCTAAGTGCACAATAAAGGGAATGTAAAATATCACATTTTTGGCTTCCACTTCCACACTTCCAACAAAGGTTTTGGAATTCTGACTTGGAAATCATCGCTCACTTGGTGCATCAGGTTCTTTTAAAGATCCTCTTCATGAGTCTGAATACAGTGTTGTCCCTGATAGCTTTGGAAGTTCTCTCCCACAGGGTGTCCTCCTTCCACATACCCCGACCCTTCCTCTCAGCTTTAACCTCTGCCCTGTGCAGTCGTCTGTGGAGACGCCAGTAGAGGCGCGAGTCAGGAAGGACACCAGCTACGGGGGCAGTGCGAGCCAGTCCGAGCCTGAGTACCTCTTCGTTCATACAGTAGCTCCTCAATGACCCCTTCTGGAGAGATGGGAGAAGACAGGGAAATATCACTTTATAACTTGAAATTAATTATTCACTTTTCCACATAATGGAAGGAGGAGGAGGAGGAGGTCAGCGCCCTGATCCACTGGTGTCAAGACAACCATCTCACCCTCAACGTCGCAAAGACAAAGGAGTTGATAGTGGACTTCCGGAGGTGCAGAGAAGTACACACCCCCATCACCATCAACGGCGCTGCTGTGGAGAGAGTGAGCACCTTCCGCTTCCTTGGTGTACATCTGGCTAAGGATCTTACGTGGTCAGTACACACAAACAAAACAGTGAAGAAGAGGCGCAACAGCGCCTCTTCTTTCTCAGGAGACTGAAAAGATTCGGCATGAGCCCCCGCATCCTCAGGACCTTCTATCACTGTGCCATTGAGAGCATCCTCACTGGATACATCACCACCTGGTACGGCAACAGCACCGCCTACAACCGCAAAGCTCTCCAGAGAGTAGTGCTGTGTTCTGAACGGATAATTGGAGGTGAGCTTCCCTCCCTCCAAGACATCTACAGGAAGCGGTGCCTGAGGAAAGCGGGGAGGATCATCAAGGACTCCAGTCACCCCAGCCATAAACTGTTCAGACTACTTCCATCAGGAAGGAGGTTCTGCAGCATCCGGTCCCGTACCAGCAGACTGAGAGACAGCTTTTTCCATCAGGCCATCAGACTGCTGAACACGTCATAGACACCTCACCTTCACTACTGGAACTTCAACATTATGCACTACATACTGTACATTAATGCCACTTGTTTTGCACAATATCCAACTACAAACCTCTGTATATTTTATATATTTTATTTTATTGTTTACTCTATTTAATTTGTAAAATATGTATACACACACACACACACACACACACACGTAGAAAAACATATCTAGTATACACATCCAGTAATGCATATACTATTATATATTGTACATATATTTATTAGTCTCAGATTTAGCCATTCTTATATTTTGCTTGTTTTACGTTATTGTATTTTGCACAACTCTGTTGCATGTGAAGCTCGCATACAAGAATTTCACTCACATGTACTGTACCAGTGTACCTGCACATGTGATGTGACAATAAAAGTGATTTGATTTGATTTAATGTTTGCCTTACCCTGCTTTGAGACACCAAACAATGCAATATGTCGTCCTCTCGGCTGATAAGCTTCATCCACACCATTTGGGAAGGGGCCACATTCTTCTCCAGCCATAATTTCCCCTCTGGTGTTAGCTCCACTCCTGCAAGATGGACCAGCAGCAGGGATGTAGACACATCTGAAAAGAAGAAAGACAAAGCATTTACCTGACATTTTATGTATTCTGTTTAGAATATGAATTTTGAGCAAGGCCTGAAACTGTATTTTTTTAGTAGTGTGAGCATAATGTAACAGTTTAGTGGTGTCACTACTGAAATGCTGCATTTTACATTTAACAATAAAGAAAAAAAATTGTTGTTAGATGCAAAGACAAATTGAACCCTCTCTATACTAAATGACTGATCAGGTTTGAAATCTTGAGTCAGGTGGGGCAAACGTGTTATCTGTGTCCTTTGTGAAGTAGCTGATGCTGCACCTTATGATTTCATTGCTCAGTGACTACTGTGACCTGATATAGTAGCTAACAGGCTTACCTGCCACTTTCAGTCATGACAATTTAATAAAATATATCCGACTTTGCAAAGTAAAAACGCCACAATTATATTATGGTGCAAAAAGATTAAATAATTACGCTGCTAAGCCATAGATTAGTGGCTCTGAATCGTATAGACCGTGTATTTCTGGTGTGATAGTGCACATGCTTTCATGATCTCCTCTCTCCCGTATTACCCTTATACTTTGAAAGTAATGGAGAGATAACAGGCAGATAAATTGGGACATGCTCCACTTTAAATCCTTTCTCTGTGATGGAATGGACTTTCCCACGAAGGCTGACGTTCCTCTCAATAAAGCGTGCAGGGATGTCACACGCAGCTTGAAATTTTGTGATCTACAGAGGTGGAACAAGACAACTGAATGACTTATTCTAGAAAAACACAGAAAAAATGACATCTTATGTAGTAGGATGTCGAATTGCGAGAGCAAATTGAGATAGCACACAGTGGACACCTATCAGCAGGGTGAATGTGCAACTGAACATTTGAGGGTCTTTCTCCCTTACCAGTTTGATACTCCTTGCTATGACAATTACACCAGCAATGGCCAGTCCAGTGCTTATATTCTGGGGGAGACAAGAGAATAGTAATGGGATGAGAGTGACGTTACCAACCAGGCTAAAGTGCTGGTCACTGATAATGCACATGAGCACTATACTTAGAGAAACTATATAAACTATACTAGAGAAAGGACATCTGGTCAGCGCAATGAAGGCATTTGCATGAGACCACAGTCCTTCCTTTCAACATATAGGCTACCAACAAGTGAAAGATTAAATGCAGATGCAGGCTGACAGTGAAGTAACCATGCTGTCTGTACATCGCATCTTTCAAACAAAGGAGACCCCTACCCGCACGAGCGTTAAATTATCATCTGCGAACTGAGATATTAAAGTCACGATGTTATGAGGCGCCGGGGTTTCTCCCTTTCTTTGTTGTCTGTCCCTCATTTCCTCCTCACTTTCTGTTTCTCTGGAAGTCTGCGGCATGTTGTTGACATTTTCTCGACGCATCCTAAGCCCCGCCCACTCTGGGGAGGGACGCTTCACCAGTGAAGGCTCGTGCGGAGGCTCCGCCTGGTGGTCTGCTGTGGAAATGACAGTAAGGTGTGCACGTCCAATGCGTCTGAAAGCATCAAGTTCACAGCCCGTGTGACATAAAAAGCACTAAAATAACCAGCCCGGTGGATGGCGAAGCTGTTTACTTAGCGCTGCAATAACGTTGAGGAGGGGGTAGAGAAAAAGTTGTCCATGCAAAAATGCAGCTGAGGTTCACATTATTGAACACCGCTGGGATCAGTGACGTATCCATCTTTGTCTACACAGTTTGACCTAGATTTCTTCATTATTTAAAATCTTCCCTTGAATTTATCTGTTTATGTCTGTTTTTGTTGTTGTTAGATTTAAAAAGTATGAAGATTTAACTCGTGATTGATGCCTTTTCTATCTTGAGACTGCAATCCAGCTGTTCTGAAATGCACACATAAACTTAAACTGCGGTAACATATTTGCAGATTCATCTAGAACAAAGGAGTTTTATTTGATTGAACTGAGTTTGCTTCTTAGGGTGTTGCAATGCATGAAAAAGTTTGTTAATATTAATTTCAAAGTAAATTTCAAAAATGCACTTAAATAAATTATTACTACTGAATGTGTCTTTTTTCTTTATTCTTCATTTTTCCCATATATGCATATTAATTTGTCAACTATATGTATGTAGCCGGATCAGTGTTTGTGTTTCATGCAAATGTTGGTTCTTTATTTGCATTTGAAAGAATTTCAGTAATAATTATAAAATAATAATAACTAGATGACTTCGTGTCATCTAGTTATTATTATTCAGTGCACAACGCAAACGCCCCAGAAGACAATAGAATAACTCAGTTTTGTTTTTGTTTTTTTGATTTATTTATTTATTTTTTTTTACAATCAGGGCCTTTACATAACAATGCAAACAAACACACACATGTTCCCACCACCAACAATAATTCACCAAATATTTAACCATAACTGTCTATGCAGGAGATGATGCACAGTGAAACCTGCACGTTAACAGGCATCACTGAGGAGTGACCACTGCATGACAGATGCACTGGAGCTTTCATCTTGTAAACTGTGAAGTCATGGAGCTACTTGAAGCCGGATCACGCCCCCATTACCACAAATTGGCCAATAGGAGCTGAGAGGCAGAGTTGTCCTCCTGGCCGCCATTAAAGAATTCAATACATGAACTGAAATAATGGAAATCTGCTGGACCTATGGAGCAGGCAGAGAAGAGTAGCTGATGAGTAGTCACGTTAGTTTGGGGTGTTTCATTCGTTTTAAGGGTAGTTTTAATATGACGGAGCACCATGGTGGTTTTGGTGAAAAGGAGGGCGGCGTAGCGGGTTGTTTTATTTAGCTGGCGAGCTAACGCTGGAGCTCTGGTATGTTAGCGAATGTGCTAGCAGGCTAGGCTAGCTCAGGGGGAGGAGGGGCGAGTTCCTCCGCTTTGAAATTGTTTCAGAGCAGCTAGCTGCCATTAGCATTAGCATACCAGCATCTAAGTTTTTCTTTTAAGTTTTTGAGCTCGTATTTTTATTGCGCATTTAACTTTTTCCTGTGTTGTATTTAACGCTAGTCTTTCTTCGATTTGTTATCGATGATTATTTAATGTTGAGGTGATGTAGCCGCAAGCTTGCGGCTAACCAGATCAGACAATACATTTCAAATAGGATTGATGAATCGTATAGCGAGAAGCTTACAGTTGACGCGTTCTGGCTGTCTGTCTAACATTAGCTTAGCTGCCAGGCTAGTGGTGTTGGCTAGCGCCGGTTAGAAGTTGACTGTTTAGCTAGCGTCAGCTAGCTGAAGCTAGCAAGTTGGCAGCGCTTTAACGGGATAATTAGAGCTGAACATAGCTTCGCAAGCGAGTTACCCAGATCGGCTATTGCCCCCCGAAGGTGATTGAGAACATGGATTTTAACGTTACAACTACGCAGTGAAAGGATGAGTTCGTGCTTTGTACCAAACGGGGCCAGTTTGGAGGACTGCCACTCCAACCTCTTCTGCCTGGTAAGACTCTGCTCTGTGAGCTAGCGAGCGTTAGCGATCCTGAGAGGCCAGAAAGCCATTTTGGCTAATAAGGCAACAAGCCTTGTAACGTCAGTTGCAGATTGGAGTGAAGGCATCGGGCCTGCAACTAACAAATCGTGATCTGAGCCAACTTTCATAACAGAGCCAGCACATTCTGCATGACAACTATGTTGAAGGCTGGTTGATAAATATGGCACGATCTTGTGTTTACACTGCACTGAGTGCTAAAATATTCCGCTAGCAATAACGTTATTTACATGGTGGTAAAAAGAACAACTAAACGAGCAGTTTCTCTAAAACCAGCTGAACATATTGTTTTCCCTTGATTTAAACTGCACTGCATGCAAATTAATTGTGGCTGTCACCAACCATTTTGAGACAGACCAGTCTGGTTTTAAACTGACAGGTCTGTCATTGTTTGTTAACTTGTTGGTTGTAAATTATTTCCTTATAGTTGTGTGTTATGCCTTCAGGCGTGATCATCTTGGCAAGTGTAAAGAGTACAAGTACAGGAAAACTTTCAACAGTGTAAACAAACCTCAATTTTCAGCTTTGCTTATTCAAAGTTTCCTTTTTCTGTTTTCTCAATATAATTGTAGGATCTATACCTTACAATATAAAGCACCTAAGGCAACTGCTGTTGTGATTTTGCACTATATAAATAAAATAAAATAATTGAATTGAAAGTAATTTTAGCAGTGAAAGCAGTGGCTGGCTTGTTACTGCAGTGTGTTCAGTCAAGATGCATGAAGAGTTATGCAGTAAACAGCTGGAAATTAGCTTTATGCTCTTCAGTTTTTCTCTGTGTTCATTCTCACATTCTGACGTCACTGTTCTTCTCTTTAAGGCTGATTTGACTGGAATAAAATGGCGGCGTTTTGTGTGGCAAGGACCCACCTCCTCGCCAATCCTTTTCCCTGTGACTGAGGAGGACCCGATCTTGTGCAGTTTCAGCCGATGCTTGGCGGCAGATGTGTTGAGTGTTTGGAGGAGGCACCAAACCCCGGGTCGCAGAGAGCTCTGGCTCTTCTGGTGGGGTGATGACCCCAGTTTTGCAGAGCTTATCCACAATGAGCTCTTAAGTAAGTTCATTTAACCTCTCCACGAATTCTGCAAGATTTGTGATTCTGACAACATCAGAGTTTATTAGATGAAAATGTTTATTTCATTTTGCTGAATTAAATTCCAATGTTATTTGGTGATTTACCCCAAATTATATGTGGACTCTTGTGCTTTTGCAGCAGTTAGTTCAGTTTGTGCCATCTGAACAATTTGAAATTGAAGTGTGTAATTGTTGATATTAATAACAAACCTCTCTAGAGATGCTGTCCTGAAATGCTTGCTGCATTAAAAAAAATTCTTATACATTTTTGATGATGCAAAGTCTGATTAAAAATAATTTCTAAGGCCCTTGAATTTGTGGCTAACTGGTCTTTGAATGTCTTTAAAGCCTTGTGAAATTGATTGGCCCTCAGCCATAGAGACGCAGACTTGCATGGTAGGATTAGAACAAGTTGTTGTGCATCACAGTCACCTGACACACTTCTAGATTTCTGGAGATTCAATCCTGCTTTGTTGATATCCATATTCTTAGAGAAGAAGTACCCTTAGGGGCTAACACACAGGTATTTTGTCTCAGGTGTGATGAAGTGTTACTTGTAGAAATTGCTCATTAAAGAGATCAAGTTGGCAACAATTTTTCAAATGTCTCTTGAGCTCCAAACATAGTTGGAAGTTTGAATTTTTCACTATGCAGGGAGTATAGCTCTTGATGATCAGAAAGGAATGGCATGAGTAAGCTTCACCTACAGAATAATTTCTCTGTAATTTAACAAAATAGTTTATTTTCTGTTATGTAAGTCAGTAACTGGGTTGAAGCCTTTTATTTTGGATCACATCATTACATAACAGCAACTTAGACTTTTATTAATATTAAATGTTTTCCTGTATTTATATGCGGTAGAGCAGCTGTAACTGTGGTCTTTTGGGGTTTTTTTGTTTGTTTGTTTTTTGCATAGCCAAATTAAGGCTACACATGTATGACAAAACCAAGTACATTTAACAGTGGTTAGCTTTATCGGGGGAAAAAAGCTTTGATTGTTAAAGTCATCATGTTTGCATCTGCGTTGTTTCAGGTGAGGAGGATGGTGAGTGGGAAAGTGGTCTATCCTATGAGTGTCGAACGCTCCTGTTCAAAGCCATTCACAACCTGCTGGAGCGCTGCCTCATGAACCGGGGCTTTGTTCGTATTGGCAAGTGGTTTGTCAAGCCATACCAAAAGGAGGAGAAGACCATTAATAAAAGGTATGTCCTGCTTTTTTCTAGAAAAATTGTAGGATATTCTGTGAATTGTTAAATTAAAGATGACACTTCGCTTGTGATACTCTGTACTCTTAACTGGGGTTCAATTCAGTCTTTTGTACTGATACAAGAGCATATTCATCTCATAGTTTGCTATCTGTAGGGCCGATTAAGACAAAGTTCACTATGAACCAAAGACACAACAGAAGTTCCTTTCCACATTAAGCCTGAGCTTACACATACGTCAGGGTGGTTTTTTTATAACACAAAAGGACTAATGCAATTGCTTAAGGTAAACATGTCAGTGGAGTGAAGTGCCATGAATTGTGATTGTGCTGAAGGGTAAAACATTAGTCATGTTGGCTGTTGGAGTGTTTTTTTTAAATTCGATTCATGTATGGGTTTTTGTTTTTTTGGCTTTCTTTAATCAGAGCAGAACAAACCATGGAATGTGACATATGTAGGAATCAGGAACGGAAGCACGCATGTGTTAGACATGCTAAAAACAGAGGGTAATTTAAGTGCATGTGTACTGCTTAAGTTATGGGGGAAATTCAGCTGAGCTGATGTGCTCTTTATGGTGTGAAGTTAGTATAACAATATCTGGCCTTTCACATTCTTTAATCATTCACATTACCATTTGTGACGCAGCTTGGGAAATGTTGCATGTGTTGTTTTGACTATGCTGTGGTCAGCTTATATCTGTTTTTAGGGTTGAGCCACCCTTTTCTCTTTTAAGTCTTTCTTTGAACAGTGTAATCACCTCATTAAAGTATTGCCTTTAACACAACATCTGCATCTCTGATATAATCCTTAATAGATACATGACTGTGGTCTGTACCTTTTGTATTCATGTACAACTGACTCAGTGTTGGTTCGCCTCTATGACATCCTTCAGGTCTCAGAAAATTCTGATTCGTGGAATTGCACAAGATCTAATGATGTGATGGATTATGGCAGCTTTTGAATAACATCACTGGCATGGCACATTGTCATGCTACGCTGTTTCATTTGCTGTGAACCAATCCATCTTTTTGAGTACAAGCGCTGATACAGATACCCGTCCAATACCATTGTTGAATTAATAAGTTCACTGGAAACATCCAAGTTGTGTAATAAATAAATAACTACATTTAAAAATGAAATTGTTATTGATTCTTAATGTTATATTACTTTGGAATAAATAAAAATATCTAAGTAGATTTAATATATAATTACATTTATCTAATTTATTTGGCCCTTTCAGCTCAGTGTGAGGTTTTGTGTTTTGTTGTAATTTACAGCCACCCTGGTGTCTCTGCTCTATTATTCTGTTCGCTGTTTCACTGTGTGCACTTCTCGCCACTCATAAAGCAGAGCAGATGAGACAGTTGATTAAGGAAGGTGATAACAAATTGTTACGGAACTTTAAGTGAAATAAATGGTTCTGTTGGAGTTTTAGACCTAACATAATGAAGAAAAGATTTATGGAAAAGCCATGTGAGAAGGCACTGTTCACTGCTTGCTGTAAAATCAAAATTAAGTAACAAATAAGGTGATTTGTTGTTGTAGCCAGTGTGAAATGCCATTGAACTGCTGGTGCCCTTCATGCAGCGTTGCTCTGCTTCTAGCAAAATGTGCTGCTTTAACTACAGCACTGCTGACATGTGATGTAGTTAATGTGGAATGACATAAAACAAAATAGAATAAATAATTCCATTATCGCAGTTACTGATCTCACTGGCTCAAACAGCAGGAACGGTATTGCATCCATAGTTTTCTGTGAAATTGTAGGCTTTTGGGAAAAAAAAGTTAAAGACAGCCATTTATTGTTCACATCTCTCCAAAGCCCCAAACCGGGCTGTTGTTGTTGTACAAATACAAGCTTGAGGTGAACTAGCAACAGCAACACATAAATATCTGCCTGGTTCAGAATGGAGTTGTGTAATGCTGTACCATAAGGGTGGTGACATAGATTTAGCATCTGCTGTTGAATAAGGAGCCTGGAGGACCCCAGAGTTTCCCGACAAGCTCATTTGAGTTTCAATTTCTTGTGTGTGTTCATCCAGGGTGACTTTGTGTTTGATGCACAAGCCTTTGGCTTAGTTCCCTCTGGCTACTTTTTCAATGGTTTTAAAGAGTTTTAGCAGTTGTATAAAAAGGCTGTTGTGTTGAAGAGGAGGTGATTTATTGCTCACTGGTTTTTAGCTTCTGTTTTTACATAAAGAGGTCCACAGGCTTGTTTTGTGGCAGAGAAGCTGCACCTCTAACAGAGGAGTCTGGCAGCCTTGCTGTCGCCTGCCCTCTCTGACTGGTAAACACAGCAGTCTTTGGAAACTGCTGAGTTTGCGCTGTGGTTTTACAGAAATCATGTCAACGAGTACTATTTTAGTGAGTTTTGCTGCCTGGCCTTCCAGACGTGGTTAGAAAATAAAGATGGCATTGTTTTCACATTTCAGTGCTATAAGAATTTCCTATGCATATTTGTGCTTCATATTGTCAGTTTGCTTTACTGCCATTTTTAAATCCGTGTGTATACTGCGTGCACCATCTGATTGGCGGTATTAGCCTTGTGTATGTGGAACCTACCATTATCACCTGAACACGTGATATGAATCAATGAGGCCAGTGGAATATGAAAGGAACTGTATGGTTTCCATTATCTTCACCCTTATCAGCCCTGCCTTTTTTCTTTGAGTCATTCCTTAACAGTGAATGAAAGAGAGTACACCGATAATCTCAGTTGCCCTTAGGGAGTTTATCTTCTAGGTGTTTGAGACAAGTGTTTGTTTATTCATTTACTGATGAGCTTCTGTTGTATACCACTCTTTCTAAGCATAACAGTGCCTGTTTCTGTCTTTGATTCACCTTGCAGTGAGCACCTTTCTTGTGCATTCAACTTCTTTGTACATGGGGACAGCAACGTGTGCACAAGTGTTGAGATTGCTCAGCATCAGCCTCTTCAGCGATTGAGCGAGGAACACCTAAGCCTTGCACAGCAAAGCTCCAGCCCCTTGCAAGGTAAGATCACAAGAGTTGTGCACAGTAGTCATGCATTAAATGGAACTAGACCAACGTTTTGGGGCGATCGTGGCTCAAGAGTTGGGAGTTCACCTTGTAATCGGAAGGTTGCCGGTTCGGGCCCCGGCTCGGTCACTGTGTCTTTGGGCAAGACACTTCACCCGTTACCTACTGGTGGTGGTCAGAGGGCCCGATGGCGCCAGTGTCCGGCAGCCTCGCCTCTGTCAGTGCGCCCCAGGGTGGCTGTGGCTACGATGTAGCTTGCCGTCACCAGTGTGTGAATGTGTGTGTGAATGGGTGGATGACTGGTTGTGTAAAGCGCTTTGGGGTCCTTAGGGACTAGAAAAGCACTATACAAATACAGGCCATTTACCATTTGTTTTTAGTATTAAAGTAATTAAACTCTGCCCTACAGTCATCCTGAGCCCATATGGCTTGAATGGGACCCTCACTGGCCAGGCTTTTAAGATGTCAGACCACCCTACTCAGAAGCTTATCGAAGAGTGGAGGCAGTTCTATCCCATCAGCCCCAATCCCAAGGAGGTCCAGGAAGAAAAGTTGGAAGATGCGGACTGGGAGGATGACTCCCTGGCAGCTGTGGAGGTCCTTGTTGGTAAGGCTTCTTAGTATGTTTATAATGTGTTGGTTGATCACTGAATGCAAGGAAGGAACAGAAAGGTAAGTTTATTGATATTCATTTATTTAGTCATGCCAGTTGAAAAATACAGTGCTACATTTTCAGCTCTTCTTGATATGAGGATGACATACCTGCCAACATTTTGGTCTAAAAAAAACCCAGAGTCCAGGAGGATTATGTATTTATTTGTAGGAATGAGGGTGATCTTGATGGCACAGTATCACAGTAAATGCACTGTTTAAAAAAACAAAAACCTTTAAAACAAACAAAACAAAATGCACTAAATTCCTATTTTAAAAATATTTGCGGTTTTGCACTTCAGTCCAATTGGCAGAGCACAGAGAGTTTAGTACTGTTTGTCCAGCTCAGGGGGCGGCTCATTCTGAGGGAAAATGTGAGTGTTACTCATCCAATTCAAAACGGTTGGAAAATGTGTTGTTTGTGTTTTTGTTCACGTTTGAGTTAGCAGTCTAGTAAGTTTGATTCGGTGCATAGGTTTCCAACTTTACTTAAATCAAGCTTCTCATGTGCTCAATAAGAATTGCTCAAGTGGTAAAGCTACAGCTAAAATATTGAGCGATCCATTTACCTGTGCCAAGAATAACTGTACATCCTTTGAAGCAGGTTGTGGGTCACCAGGTTGGATTGACAGATTGATTAAAATTGCATGTGGGTCGATTGTGTGCGTGCAGACTGCAATTCATACCCAATCTTGCAGTTTTGGTAAAACTAGGCAAAGCTTAAAGTTTCAACCCTCATCCACCAGTTAGCTTGTTAGCGTAGGCCAAAATTATGGCCAAAATGGTTATCAGGATTTTATTACCTGTTATTTGTTATAATTATTCATTGATTTGTAGTCACATATTTTTTACTTTTTTTTTTGTGCTGTGATCTTGGCGGCACATATCTTGGTAAACATTAGTGCTTTAAGATCCATGTTGTGCTACATTCCTGCTAATGTACAAATATTTGGATCAAAGTAAAATAGATCCCCCCCCTATTCATCTAAATTCAGTACATTCTTAAGAAAAAAATTTAAAGAATTGTACCAAAACTAGAGAGACAAGATTAATAAATGAACAGGGCACTGCTTTCACATTTACACGGTACTACAGTCCTTTATTCACTTGACAAGTGCATCTCTTGGAAGCAAATATAGTCTTTTTATTTCATCTATTTTGCATCCAGGATGGGTATCAATAAAACCTCTAAGTAAAGTACTCGACAGCTGTGTATCCCTGTCCATGTCCCTTGCGATGTTTTGCATACAGTTCAGCTTTTGGCACACTGGAAAAATAACAGTGCAAGGGAAAACGTATCTGTTGTCCAGTATGTAGACAATTTTCCTGAAGTGCTTGTGATTGCGTGTTTATTGGAGACACATTTTTGGCCAAATGGAATCTGATTTCATTTGTGATTTCAGTGCATATTTGTGAGCTGGATGGATACGCTGGTTTGCTTTTATGGACGTTTGAATTGATGTTGGACAATTCATGTTAGCAACCATTGCATTATCTTTCTTGGCTTTCATGTAATCAGTATACTGCAATTCGTGGTGTGTTTTTTTTGTTGTTTTTTTTTTTTTTTTAGAAGGTTCAATAAGACACAGTTCTACAGCACTCCTTGCATGCGATTATGGCTGCAACGATTTGTCGAGTATTTCAAAGAATTCAATTATTAAAAATTTGCGACACAAATTCTTGCTTCAGTGCTTTGTTAAAGGCACGGCTCCGTAGTGCGGCACTGTTACCATGGAAACCAACATTTACGACTAAAAACAGACCTGCATTACAAATGTATTTAAAAGCAGCGTGTGAATCAAAAGTTTGACAACATTAAGCCCACACAGCCCCCAGTTTTAAACAGAAATACTGATAACACAGCAGTGGTGATCAAGACGATGGCACAGTTTAATGTGGAGCCGGAGTCTGTTTGCACACCGCAAAGAGGCAGAGCCGGTACCAAGATGGTGAGCTCAGGGAGAGTGAAAGAAACAGTGTTTCTAGTGTCCAAAACAGCAACACTGTTCTTGTAATCACCATTAAAACCTTTACTGGGGAAAAGCGAGTCTTTAATCAAAGCACCTGATCAACTAACACTGACCTCAAGAAAGGCAAACTTTGTAACTGCTTCATCCACCACAATTTGTTTCACATAGTGAAAAATCTCCAGTAAGCCTCCAGAATATGTATTAAAATATGCAGATGAACTTTTAACTTAGTCTGATACCATGTTTAAATTATACAACCTGCTGAAGGCTGATGGCAGCAATCCAATTTTACATAGAAGTGAACAAGGGTGTGAGTCTAAAGCAGGGCATGGTGTCTTCTAGACCAGATTTATTTCAAGGTTTTCAGAACATTTTTCAGATTGAAAGTGAAATAATATAAAATTCTGTCTCAATTAAGTTGTGTTAATATTTAAAAATATAAAAATTAAAGCGTTTTTCACAATCCAGTAAAAATGAAATGAAATGTAAAACTCTGAGCCACTGACCTGAGGAATTTTAGGTTGGACACTGAATTATTGTTAATATTAAATAATGTCTACACCATCATAACATCTTGTTTTTAGCAGCACATAAGCTTTGCATCAAAGCACGGGGCAAACTTCAGAATGCTGATGTGGTTGCTTCTCTTCGTTGCAGCCACCACATTCTCCTTACAAACAAAAACTTACTCATTCACGTTCACACTTAAACACATGTACCAAAACATATAAGCCTTCCAAGAAGACAGAGTAAAGATTTTTTTTGTGCCTTAGTTTAGATGGCATATTTATCTTATTTTTTTTGACTTTGACTCTACTTGAGAGTATTTATATATTTCTGCATTTAAGAAAATGTTTTCTTTAAAAAAGAAAACTTAATGTGGCACGTAAATACCAAGGGTTGGGTTTTTTTTTTGTTTTGTTTTTTTGACAAATGAAACAGATGATGGATGCAACAAAAAACACTGCAATTTCTAAAAACCAAAAGAGCTCTTGAGCTCTGACTATTTATTATTGCTCATTAATAAGATAAAATTATTTCTTATTCTATTAATCGATGGAATAATCTATAGATTACTTGATTACTAAAATAATCGAAAGCTGCAGCCCTACACGTGATTTCGTCTTTAACATCACTTACCATAAATCTGAATATTTCCAAACAGATTATCTTCCGCTTCAAGCGACAAGCTCTTCACTTTGGTTTTTTTGTTTTGTTTTGTTTTGTTTTTTATTTGTTTGTTTTTTTTTAAAAAAAAACAAGCTCTTCACTTTGTGCTTTACTAGACATTTTATTTTTTAGAATTTCTTTCTTTAAACGTGGTGTTACTGATACAGACTTATCCAGGAAAACCTCAAGCTTTACAGTGCAGGGAGCAGCTGTGATTGGCTGTCATACGTCATTGTTTATGGAGCAACTAATATGCTTTTGGTTTGCGGTCTGTTGGTGAAGCACATGCTTCCAGTATCCCCCGTTCATTGAACTGTGGGAAGCCAAAGTCATGGTTGAGATCAAAATCAGAATATTTGTGCAGCCTTACAATTATTAATAAAGTATAAAGTATAATAAAGTTTGAATCTCGTGTAAATTACGAGTGTATCCTGGGAAAACAGCAACACAGGAGGCACCTGAGATGTTAAATACGGGAAAGCCCGAGAAAAACAAGAGTGTTGGCATTTATGCGATAAATAGATCAGTCTACAGCAGCCCTAAAATGTGTCTGTTTTTTGTGTTTTTGTTTGTTTGTTTGTTTTAAAGAAATCAGTCCAAATTGTTCTCTCTGTCACTGGTACTTTTGAGAGACACTATCCTTTTTTTTTTTTCTCTTTTGTAGAGTGAAGGTGAATAAATGAGTCAGTTATACCAAAAAGTTGCATTTAAAAATGTGTATTTGGTTTGTTCAGTTCTGTTTTGAATTTTCATGCGGAGTTTTTAAAATGAACAAATGTCTTTACTTTTGTCTTTTTCAGCGGGAGTAAGGATGGTTTATCCTTCCTGCCTGGTGCTTCTCCCTCTGTCGGACCTCCCTACTGTGGTCCCTCAGGGCTCAGCCAATGCCTCAGGAAGCTTGTGTGGTGCTCAGCAGGGCCAGGCTGCTAACAGAGATCCTGCCATGTCCTCTGTCACTCTGACTCCTCCAACGTCACCAGAGGAGGCTCAGACTGGTAAGAATTACAATTAAAACTACATGTTCATCAGCCTTTATTTTTGTGAGACTCTGCATACCACTGTATTTATTTATTGTATTTATTTTTATCATCTTTATCTTACCTTCTCACAGATTATCAGCCTGCCCAGAAGTGGCTCAAGTTGTCTTCTGCATCTGATGGCTACAGCTCTAACAACACTCTACACGGTGGTAAAATCCCTCGCAGGATGGCCAGCCAGATGGTGGAGTCTGTATGGCAGGAGTACAACCTAAACCATACAGGGAACAAGTATGTTTTTGGCCATCTCTTTAAATTTGCATTTGTTCTGGTTTTGCCTCCATCCAGATGGATAACGTGTTTGTATTCCCACTCTTTCTAGGAATAAGTTTACTTCATTGACAAATGGAACCTGTGAGGAGGAGACAGAAAAAACAGGACTCTGGGATTTTGTGGAGCCAGCTCATAGGCTGCATTGTAATTGCGCAAGGTATGTTTAGTGAAGTTAATTCACCAGTGATTTAGTTATTTATTTTAAATATTTTATAGCCATTATTTGTTTTATTCCAAACAGACATAAGAATTCGAAACAGCGGTCTAGCAGCACCTCAGGACACCCACCTTCATCAGGACAGCCTGCCCTGCCAGCCCCCAAGCACAAGCTGGGTGAGAAGCTGGAGAAGGGGGAGAAGCAGCAGAAGAGGCCACAGACACCTTTTCACCACCGCAACTCTGTGAGCGAGGAGCAATCCCTGGAGCCTCAGACCCAGAGGCTTTGCCTCAGATCGCAGGAAGAAGGCTCGTATCCCAGCTTGCACCATGTGGACACGGTGCAGTCTAAAGCCCCTACACTGCACGCCCACGGCCCTCCTGCAGACCTTGTTGGATCTCCACCTCCCCCTCCTCTCAGCCCACACCCCTGTGATCACGTAGAAGTTGACATGACTCCTGGTGGCATGAAGAGCTCGTCAACTCCCATTCACCAACCATTCTACCCGCCATCAGTGGAACCTTGTCAGATGCCACCAAAGGGCTCATCTGAGGAGCCTCAGATGGAGAACATGCCTATGCCTTTGCCCTTTCCCTCAACCTACAATGAAACCCTTGAACCCACCATCTTTGTAGGTTCTGCCATCAGCCCCAGTGATGACTCCACCCATAATCCATGGAAGTATTTTCTCCTCCCTCAGAAAAAGCCCTCAAACTTCCTGACACCCCAGCTACCTTTAGATAAAATGAGAGAGGATTCTGCAGGTGGTGGAGGAAGTGAAAGTGGTGTAGTCTCTGTCACAGAGTGAGTGTCTGATGTCTGATCGGCGGATGCTTTAAAAAAAAATCTTTTTTTTTTCTTTTTGTGAATTTAAAAATAATGTATTTGCATGCCTTAAAAATGTCTCTCCCCTACACCCCTCCCAGGTTGATGTCAGGATCCTCGCATCCCCTGAAAGTGTCCCAAGAGCTCATCAAGACTTATACACAGCGGAGAAACAGCCATCTTGCTTCCACCTCAGGAGATGAAGAGCCTAGTGAGGAGCCAGACCCTTATGCCTTCGTCGAAGGAGATGAGGAGTTTAGCTTTACTGATAAGAAGGACAAGTCTGGAGCTGAAAAAGATGGAAACAAGAAACACAAGGTGGGTCCTGACAAAGGCTGAAATCCTTGTTTATTGTGATATTTGATGAAATCTACTTTCAGTCCCTGGTAAAGTACATGTTGGAACTAGTTATTTTGAACATTTCTGTGTTTTTATATTAAAGGAGGTGAATCATTTAAACATTTTCACGTCTGTTCCAGTGCTTATTTCCTTCATTTCTCTGTGCTGCATAGTAGTAGTTGCCTTTTGAGAGCACACACTGATATTGCTGGGTATTGACCATTAGTACTTAATTAGTAAACAAAATGTGTCTCTATCACAGGTCCTGTTAATTAAATTTGCTTTTACATACTTGTCAGCTTCAGTCATGTTTGCTTGCTCAGATATTTACTGATGTAAAGTACGTTTTGGTTTCTAGTGCCAGTACGTATACCCTAGTGAATCACGAAAAGACTGTGCAGTCATCTTGATAATTGAGTCACATTTTTCTTATCAAATTCTCTTGTGAATTTGTAGAAGAAAAGTTGTGTAACAAGGATCAGCAGATGATTTTAGATGTTTCAAACCTCACCCTGTTGTGTTATGGCTAACTCTGAAAATCAGCACTCGATGGTGTGCAAAATAGTGACCTTCATTTTAGGAACATGTTTGATAATCATAGCTTTGTATGCAAGTACAAATATTGGAAATTTTAATGACAAACAAGTGGTCATGACGATAATTACTGTCATCTTTTTATTTAACCAAGGTGGATGAAGGAACTGGAACTTCTGCAGATGGTGAGAAGTTTATTCATTCTTGCTTGGAGATTTCTATGTATGTTTATTTGTTTGCTTTAATTCAAAAAATGTCCCTCAATTTGTTTTGTGGTGTAGATGGACAGTGTCCTACAGGCAGTAAACCCTCAGCCTCGACCAGCCTCATCCACGAGAACGACTTGGCTGTGTCCTACAGCGACCT